TTGTTCTCCGACCGAGGACTCCAAGAAGAAGTACTTGCACCAAAAGCAGGCTCGGAGACACTTGTTTGTGTAAAAGCCTCATGCAATAGCCTTGCAGTGTCAACAGGATTAGCCAAAACATCCTCCTCGGGGACGACAAATGAGCCCTGGGGTAGACCTGAATTCAACAAAGGAAAAAGGATTAATCAGCTTCCTTATATGAAAGGAAAAAAACAAGGTGAGTTTAACGTACCATGATTTTTGGCCTTCCACCTGTATTTGAGGGCTAGTTTTTTCCACGTGCGGTTTTCCGGCGTAGTAACGTCTAAAATTTTCTAAACCCATTAGTCCATGCCTTCAACCCTAGGTAGTACCCACCGAGTCACTGAAATAAGCGAAAGAAGAAAGGTCAAGAATGATATGAGACGATCTTTGATGGAAGAAAAGTCAAATGATGAACTTACAAGTGAGGTTCCATAATTTCGGAAAGGATAAAGTCGCGGCCGGAATGATGTCACTGGTGGTGACTGTAGCGAACCATTCTATCCACCCACGTTCATTGTCATCATCTATGATAGATAGCAGAGCATGGTGGCCATGCTTGCTGAAATTTATCATTCCCCCGCAGAAGATCTTAGGTGAATAGAGGTTCATCAACCGAGCTAGGGTTAGATCCTGTATCGTCTCCTGGCATAGACATCAAAGACAAGCGATTGTCCTCCATACAGAAGGACTTACTTGTGTCAGGCATACCTGGTGAAATTCTTTTCACTTTCAGCAATTCATGGAAGAATGAATCGGTAAAAAAACTTATGACTACACCAACATGTAGTTCTTGGTCCCTTTTTTAACAGTTCCTAATAGGTGCTTTTGTGGTTCTTCACTCTAACCCTGAAGTAGTCTGTGAGCCCATTTTAACTTGGACCCTCCGTTATAGAATAGAAAGAAAGTGGTGTAGAGATCCATCCACTAAGTACCATCACTAGCGCACTACCCTCCCCGTCCCTCCGGACCGATCGGAACAGACCAACCACATATGATTTAGCTCTATCTAAGGCCTCGAAATGGAGCATCCATAAAGAACGAGTTTTTCTCTTTCATAAATTGCTTATAGATGAAGGAGCTTCTTAGACTTTCCCCCAATAAGAAGTCTAATTTTTGCTATAAAACTTTATTCTATACTCCCCGCCCACGGACGTCTTGATTCAAGGCGTCAGCAAAACACTGCTATCTGATCCAAAAACAAAAGCCCCTTAGCGCCCCGAGACGGGAGTGGGCGAATGCAGAACTATACGATGATGGAGTCAAGCTTTTCACTCAAAGAGAACAAACCTAAGGTGAAGGGATACGTATAAAAATACGTAAAACCATTCTAGGGTAAGGTTATCCGCTCCGCCAAATCAGGAGCGATAATATCTAAATCTTGGCAATGGCAGTCTTCCTTCACAACAAGAATGCTGGAAGGACAAATGGAAGAAGGGTATACACTAGCATCCCACGTACAAGGGTGAGCGGAAGGATATTTCTCTTCGAAGTCCTTAGTTGTGACGAGACTTTTTGCGATGATGGTGCTCACCGTAGAAGGAGCAGCATCGTCAGCCTTACGTTTGTTTTTTGAGGAACTAGAGTTTCGGAAGAAGAGGCCATTTTTTATCAGAAAGAAAGGAAAGTTTTTCTCTTGAGAAGAAGGTTGAATAAAGGTTGAAGACAAAGTACAAGCTGAGTAAAGAGACTTTGGGAAGGTTTGGAGAATTATGAAGTGTGAATGAAGAAGTTTGATACGTAAAAGTAAAAGAATAGGCGGCTAAAATCATGGCCATAATTACCTCGATAACCGGCAAAAGTGATGCTAAATCAAGGGATGACGCGTGCTCAGGGCATTAAATGCGAAGAGACGTGCGTCTAATCAACCGTGAGAAACTTTTCAAAGGGGGTAAGAGAATTTTTCGCCAATAAAGGTATCTCTACCAACTTCCCGGTGACACAAAGTTATGCTACCGGAAAGCAGGGGGAACTATAGGGGGACTATCTGTATGTGGTAAAATATGTTCATAATTTATGATCGCATGAGAAAGTGACATGTGGAGCCGAAGGCAGAAAGCAATCGAACCCAAAGGCAATAATCTCGCTTGTCATCAGAGAGGATGATATTCATAAAGACAAAATAAATATCTTCCATCCGGTAGTGTTCAATGAAGAATATTCTACAGCATTAAGTGCATGATCCGTTATAGAGAATATGGTGCTCATTACCCACCGTAACATATTCTTCAATGGCCCTCATAATTGTCATTTAAGAGGGGCTTGATCCTAGGACCTTGTTCCCTAGGTGTAACTATAAATAGTGAGCTCTACTATCATTGTAGAGGGAGGAATTTTCTGACAAGCATACGATATATTCTACCAAAAGCTCAATAATATTTTGCTTTTCTTGCTTATTTACATTGTTCTTATTGCTTCCGGCAGCTTTGTTCCCGGGATCAAGATATCCGTTGTTTCATTTCAATCTTAAGGCTAAGTCTTATATTTCTGTTAATTCATATGTTATTTTAGGATCAAATAAATTCACTTGTCTATAAATTACGTATAAATTTAGTTGTACCATACGGGTAAACAGTAGAGTTATAAGTGAAGAATTGGTCTAGAAACTAAAAATTGGATCGTTAAAGAGCACACTAAGTATGATATTTATGATAAAACTGTATATGGTGGAAATCGGGGTTACCCAATTTCGTTCTTCGATGAAAAAAGTGATACCACGTCGGGAGGCCAGGAGCTCGAGGTCGAAGCTCCTTTTTAATGTCAAGGTCGATATCATTTACCGAGGTCTGAAGAAGGCATGCTTCGAGATGATACCGTTATGATTCAATAACGGAAAGAGCGAGATACCCGCGATGGGCCAGAGATCATGGCGTAAATTTCGGAATGGGTTGGTCTTCGGCGATTAGACAACTGTCAAATATGATTTTCTACTGTAATTAGAAATGTACCTTATTTAGGATTCCCCTACTATATAAAGGGGTATCCCATTCATTTGTAGATAACGGTTCACTAATAAGAAAATATACGTAAATTACTCTCCTGCTATTTTACCTATTGTTCTCCAGAGTTATTTTATCATTTATTCCCATAATCATACCTCGAGATCATCACAGGTCGAGGTCGAGACTTAGCCTACACACTGGTTTGATCTACTTTACTCTTTAATTTGTCTATTTAATCTCTTGTGTATCAATTGGCGTTGAATTAAATCACATATCCTTAAAACCACAATACAACTTTAATTGTTACTCGAATTTTAGGGTAAACATAAACTAAGAAGAAATAGTCATGCAAAGATAAAATCATATTTCAAAAATGGTCAACTTCTTTTAATTTCTCTATTTCTGGTAGAAACTGAATTTTATTTCCTCTTCTTAAGTAGTATTTGCAATTCTATTGAAGGATGATTTTCTAGGGGAGAAATGAGTTATAGTCGCATTCATGCATTTAAGTAAGATAATCAATTACGCCTCTTTTATTCATTTTTGTAAAAGATCGGATATTTATTAGTTTTGCAATTCAATTTACCCTCAAGGAGCCACCAAAATACGAAAGCAAAAAAGCCAAATATTCTCCTGTATGCATGATTTACAAGTAGCAATAATATTAGTAATAAGATATCAATCAATAGTACTTTTTAATCATTTGAACCATATATAATTGATGTTATTATAAAGATTCTAATGAAATTTTTTAAATAAATCAAACCAGATAAGATTGATGCAAGAGTGAATGATAACACACAGTTATCAGATATATATTTGACTATTAAAATTTGTTGCTAAATAGTTATGATAAGTATATATCATTTGTAGTTTTAATAACATTGTTTTGTTCCTATAACATGAAGAGTATTGCCAGAAAATAAAAGATATGAAGTGTCGTGTACCACAGGAATAATTAAGGACGATAGAACGACACATGATCATTCGGATATCAACAACACTACAACAGTGCATAGAAAGAATAATTTCAAATAAATAGGGTCAATGGTATATATTTTGCTAATTAGTCGCTTGATAACTGTGAACTTGCATTTCTAAGCTCTAATTCTAACGGAAATACTCATAATTTTGATTTAATGTAGTTATAAAATTACTTTTTAATGCATGTACATGAACAATTTTATTTCTTTTATCACAACTAAATATACAAACAGATAAATTTACTGTTTTTCTTTAAACTCGCAAAGCATGGGCTAATAAACTAGTTTATGATAAACTAATAAAAAATAATCATGCAAAGAAAAAACATGACTAAGTTTTTCCTTCAAATAATGATCTCTTTTTTTTCAAAAAAAAAAAAAACACATAATATCCTTGAGAACTAGGCGTATTAGCTTGGCATCAAAATCTTGGAGTCAGGAACGACGAAAAACTTGGTTTATGCTGTTATATAGCAAGTTCTTAATGGAGTTTGTGACGCTGAGTTTAGAAAGAAAATTAAAATAAAGTACTGTTAAACCAATGATGGAAGTAAGGTAGTTTAGTTAGTTTAAGTGAGATGAAGAAGTCATACAAAAGTCCAAGGGTATAATTATAAATAAAATATTGATATATTTTTAAACCAAACACAAGTTATGCACTGTGTATTCAATTTTCAACACAATGAACCAAACACTTTATACAAATAATTCCTGCATAACAAATCACTGCATAATTTGTTTCTAAACCAAACGACCCCTTAGTATATTTCTAAGAGTATATAGAGAACCACTTCTGTCAAAATAATTCTTATCTACAGAATATTGAAATATTATGATATTAAGCCAACCTCACCCCGACTAGCTTCGATTGAGGCGTCATTATTGTATTTTCATGGCACAGAGAGCATAGCCTCCATTGGATTTTCCTTTTTTTTAAAAAAAAAAAATGGAAACCAGCCCCTATTTGGTTGCCATCAAAGTTTCCCCTGCCTTTGTTTTCTCCTTAATTTGCTAAATTGTCTCCACATAAACGAAGAAAGCGAAACAAAAGTAAAAGGAAAAAACGAAACATAAATAAAGCCAATACTTTGAGATCATTAATCTCATTTAGTGCCCCTCAACTGTTTGGATTCACAAAGTACGGTGTAGCACGCGAACACAATGAAAACTCTGTTAAATGTAATGCAACACCAACACATCAGTCAAAAGCTGAAATGCAAGGAATTAAGCCACTGAACTGAGCATGCTGCATACAAATTTGCCCTCTGAGACAACTAGCTTCTCCCCTTTAATGACTGCATCTAGTGGTAGAGGACTGAAACTCCGAGATGGGCCATAGAAATGAGGAAAGACATTTGCGTCATCGATAGCTTCGTAAACCAACCCATTCCCAAGCTGCAACAAAATAAACCCTATCATAACAAGAAAACTTCTCTCATCTGTTGATCAAACATATCATATTTAGATTAGAAAAGCCAAACAAATGTTGATTGTATTATCAAATATGATAATCAACATGCAGAAAAGAAAAGGAAAACTGGTACTCATAAACGGTGAAGTCAAGAAGGCAGTACTACTAGCCTTTTTAGCATCGATTTGCAGCAAGTACAAATCATCCTTAACATTCAGGAAAAAGTTCAGCAAAGTTGATTGAACCTGCAAGTTCAAAAATTTCAAGTTAGAGTGAGGACAAAACCGGCTCAACTAAATGCAATCTAAAGATAAAAAGTTAACTGTTCTCTAAAATATGCGAAGTCACAAGTCTAATATTACATTAGATTATTTTTCTCTGCAACTAACTAAGCTATACAAAACCCTAATTTTACTTACTATTGATTTCTTATATGCAATAACGATCTCCAACTAGTTCTGGAAGTATTTCACTTTAAACATGTACAGTATAAGTTCCTGAAGATAGGCTTCTTTTCTTCTTTTTCCTGTCAGGAGTTTTGATTTTTGGGTCATAGTTGTGACCACAAATTGTCCCTACTTCCTAACCTGCGTGTCATAATTTGATTTTAGAAGTGAAAAACACTTGGAATTTTTATTAATTAGGAGTTCAAAACAGAAATTGCTCTATAAGAGGTGCTTTCCATAGTAAGGGATAGATAACTGAACAACTGCAGCAATAAGAACTTGAAATTTATAATATGTGTGAGGTACAGTCTCATGTTATGTGGTTATTAATCAATAAACAAGTAGCTCTGAGACAAATTAAAAGTTCTTTTTGCATTAACTTGGTTGAAACTAGAAATTTAGTTCATAATTAAACATGAAATATAGGGTCCAACACAATTTCTCTTGATAAGATAATTTTTCATTTGGAAATCTGATTTTTTTGGTAAGTAATTTCATTAATCACCAAGAAAATTCGTAGCTCAACTAATACAGCTATCTATCCAAAAAAAAATCAACACAGAACAAAAAATCCTACAACACTACCAGCCAAAAAGGGCAGTCTGGTGCACTAAGCTCCCACTATGTGCGGGGTGGGGGAAGGGCCGGACCACAAGGGTCATTTCCCTGCAGAAATGCAAGAGGTTGTTTTCACGGCTCGAACCTGTGACCTCCTGGTCACACGGCAGCACTACCAGCCAGCAGACTAAAAAAGAAACTTTATATATCTAGTAGCTCCTCTCACATTGCATACATATGCAATTTCCCTCGAAATACGGTCTTGTCCCTTGCTAATCTTCTCAAATAATATCTGATTTCTCTCAACAAATATGGCACGAAAAACTTCAATATAAACCATCTTGACGATATTTGCTTGTTTAGATTTGCCTTTAGAGTTCCTGATGATCCAAGTTGTATGCTGCTCACAGTTATCTATTGCAACTGGTTGCCTCTTCATCCAGTTATCAGTCACTATTTTACATAATGCTATCTGTTGTGAATGTGTAGGTATTGGCCCCTTTCGTCATGGTAATCTTGTTGACAGCAGATAGGGTTTGAGTAGAAGACCCTATCAGACTTTTATAGAATTGAATAATTTCTGCTTTGATGGCTTTAGGATTAGTTAAATTAGTTCCAGCATCAAAAGTGAATTCAAAAATCTGTTTTCTATGATTCCTTCCCTTCCTCACAGTAACAGAAATTAACTGGTATTAGAGTCTCGCAGCTAATCCATTTAGCTCTAGATTTCTGCTTCATGACAGTTTCCTCAATCATATTCCACTTCTCTAGATTCTATAAAGTCTTCCTCTCCATTACAAAAAGTGCATAAGAGAATTCAGTTGGTAGCTTTTCTTGTATTGTAGCCAAGTCCAATCTAGCCTGCTCAATCTTCTGAGAAATAGATTTAAATTCCTCAGTGTTAAGTCTTCTTAGCAATGGTCTTCAAGCCCTTCAGCTTCATCCATATGTTTTTCATAGGGTATGTTGCCAGTTGCTTCCCCCAGACTTCCTCTACCACAGTTAAGAATTGACTATGTTCCACCCAAACACTGAAAACTCGAAAAGGCACTTTAAAGTTACAGCTTGTTGGCCTTAGTGCCAGAAATATTGGTGAGTGACCAGAAACACTAGGTAAATCATACTCAGTTCGTACATGGCCCCAACACATCATCCATTCATAATTGCCAACGGCTCTATCAAGTTTGCTACAAACTCCGCCGATAGTCCACCTTTACATCAATAAAATTCTAAATTATTAAAAGGTTCACTTTATCAACTTTTGGATTCGGTGTCATTATAATAAGATAAAAACTCAAAGTTTACCTTAGTAATCATGATTCCTATATAGACCATATTCACCAAATATAGATGTTTGAGAGACCAAATGATGTGTCTCATCTTCAAGGTACAATAAATCAATGGCCCAACCTCCTTTGGGCTAAAATAAACTCCAGTTTTGCTTCACTTTTAGTCTCTAGTCGCTAACATGTCTCCTTCTTATATTTCTAATCTTTCACGAGTCCTTTATCTGTGAAACTATGACGACATTTTAACTCACCATGTCAAGGTTGCCTTTGGCCCATATGAAACTATAGTGCTACATCACTTCATTGTATGTTTTCTTGTTTTTTCAAGCAAGAAAAAGTTACAGCAGAAAAACATAAAGAAGTCTAACGAGAAAAAGAAACAGTCATATAAGAATGAAAACCTCATGTAGCAATCCCTTAGGAGGATGGCCACTTATAAAAACTAATGTAATACTTATAAAGTTAAGCATTCTTTTTGTAAAACTACTTTTGTAAAATAAACTAACCCCAAAAAAAAATATTTTCAATACTTCCATGATTAGGAAAAGAGTTAAAAGTGTTCTAACAAAACTTTGAAACTAGTTTAGCAAATTGTTATAATAATTTATTAGCAAAAATAGGCCCATCAACAAGGTTTGACATATGACATCTCTGTTAGATAGTTATGTGTAAATAGTCTTAGTCGCATGTGAAGTAGGAGTAGAATATGTCCTAGTCCCAAAAGTAATAGGAGTAGAATATGTCCTAATATCATATGTAGTAAGAGTAGAAGATGTATTATATATAGGGTTCATTGTATCATTGTTAATAAATAGATTTTTCTCTCGTGCATTCTCACATGATATCAGAGCTTCAGTGAGAAAATTATTGATGTGCGTGATTCCAACGACATCCGGGAAGAAAAATCTTGTCGCCGTGCAATTTTCCGGCAACTTCGTCTTGTTCCCAGGGTTCATCACTGCTAAAGTGGTACTGTGCATATACCAGTAGTCCAGTACCACCATCGGATCTGAAACCCTTGTGCGACCAAACCCCAAAAATTTCAGTCCTATCGGAATAGAAAAGTCAGTCACCGTGTGTCTTTTCGGTTGACGGCTCAAGATTGATTTGGGTTATCTACTCATTGGTAAGTGTTGTGTGAAAACCAACACTACCATCTTGTTTGGAAACAGTCAATTGCTCCGGTAGAAAGTCCCTCGTGCGCCTCCGCGCGCCTCAAGAACTAGGGTTCCGGCAAGCTACAATAACTTTTCTGGCGCGTGTGAGCCATTCAGGCCACTTTTTGGCAAAACTTTTTCAGGACAACTTACTCGTCCAGTGATTCCGAACCCACCCTATAAATTACATCAAATTCTGACATCTTTTATTTTTTCCGGTGTGAACAGTGATTTCCCGGCATGAATAGCAATTTCCAAAAAGTTCATGTGTTTCTAGTAGTGTTTTAGAACCTATTTTATAGTATGGAATTCGACTTATTCTCACTGTTTTCAAATTTTTCCAGCGACTTTTCGGCCAACTTCTGTTTATAAGCAACCACCTGGTTTTGTTGCTAGGGGGAGTTTAGTGGCGTTGTATGTCGAATGATCAGCTTGAAGATATTTGCACCAAGTCCCTCACTGGTCCTCATATTAGTTAGATATATAACAAGCTCAGTACAAATGATTTGTATGCACCGGCTTGAGGGAAAATGTTAGATAGTTATGCGTAAATAGTCTTTGTCCCATATGTAGTAGGAGTAGAATATGTCCTACTCCCATATGTAATAGGAGTAGAATATATCTTAATCCCATATGTAGTAAAAGCAGAAGATGTATAATATATAGGATTCATTGTATCATTGTTAATAACAGATTTTTCTCCCGTGCATTCTTACAATCTCAACATAGAAGCATCTCTTTAAAAGTGCAAGATACAACTATATATAAAAAAAAAACACCTTATCAAACACTTAGTAGAGGAATATTTCTTTTTCATAACAACACCTTTCGAGACTCATACCAAGCATAAAACTTAACTTCAAATCTCAAATACAAATATTAGGTCTCCAATCATTTTCCCCATGTTCAATTCAAATACCAAATTTAATACTGATATTGCAAGACTTGGGCTTAAACACCCCCAAAATAGCCAAATCATTCACCAAAATCAAGTTACCAAAATAGTAGAGTAACAACAACAACAACAAACCCAGTATATTCCCACAAGTAGGGTCTGGGGAGGGAGGGTAGTATGTACGCAGACCTTACCCCTACCTAGTGAAGGTAGAGAGGATGTTTTCAATAGACCCTCGGTTTAGAAGAGAGGGGGGGAGGGAGAAAAAGAAGAAGAAAAAGAGGGGGGGAGGGAAATAAGTAGTACTAAGTACTAACAACAGGAAATACGATAAAAGAAGCGAACTAGATCACATGATATAGTAACGATCTACATAAGAATATGCAGGAACATGAGTGCTACTAAAATAACCGATAAGAAAAGGAGAAACTTACAACCACCTACTAACCTTCTACCCTAATCCTCGACCTCCACACCTTCCTATCAAGGGTCATGTCCTCAGTAAGCTGAAGTCGCGCCATATCCTACCTAATCACCTCTCTCCAGTACTTCCTTGGCCTACCTCAACCTCTTCTCAAACCTGCCATGGCCAGCTTCTCACATCTCCTGACAGGAGCATCAGTGTTTCTCCTTTTTACGTGCCCGAACCATCTCAGTCTCGACTCCCGCATCTTTATTCCCCACGAGGCCACTTCCACTTTATCCCGAATAGCTTCATTCCTAATCTTATCTCTCTTGGTATACCCACTCATCCATCTCAACATCCTAATTCCTGCTACTTTCATCTTCTGCACATGTGAGTTTTTGATTGGCCAACACTCCGCCCCATAGAACATAGTTGGTCGGACCACCACTTTGTAAAATTTACCTTTTAAGTCTTGGCAGCAATTTCCTGTCACA